ACTTATGTGAACCATTTGGAGTTTGGAAGGTAGACTAAATTTCACATGTGTAACAGATGGAGGTTATAGATTGGACACACAGTGTTTGAAATGTAATTTCTTTCAGTCTGATTTAACATCATATACATAATACATATACAAATAGATGAACCTTGGTAGATGGATGCTAACTTAAAGGTCCTGGGGATATACAGTACTTACGTAAAACATCAAATGCCATGAAGAACTAGTGTATTCGGGCCATTTTGTGTACTCGAGTACTAGACAGATAAATTGACAGAAAATCTGATTATTTGTTTTTAAAATTACCTGTCAAGTTGTTAATAGTTTTAAAGAAATCTTGGATCTGTAGACCAATGTTGTTATTGTTTACTAAAACTATTAAAAATCCTTTGATCGCTTTTCTTAATTAAAAACAAAACTGAACGAAATAAAATATAAATGCTAGATGAAATACTTAAACTTTAATGAAAATTAGAAATGTTGCCTTGACAATACAGTAACTTTAAGTTGAAGTAGCCGACTAAAACTGAAATAAAAGTAAATTTAATGCTAAATAGAAATAAAAAATAAACTAATAAAAAGGACAAAAGCACATGACGATTACTCAAACTAAAATTAAAAGGAAAGCAAATTAAGCTTATTTAAAATATTAATAAATACTATAATATAAAAAAAATTCCATTTAAAATAACACCGCTCTAAACTTGACCTTCCGCATCAGATCTTTGGATTCAGGTTTTGTCATATAGTGGTGATGTAGGTGTCAGCATGATGCAGAGTGATTTTGTCCTCCGATGTGCTGAATTGAGGACACAGCAGAAGTGTTGAAGGAGGATATGTGGCTCTCTGCAGTATGGGACATGTGTTCAGTCACATGCAGGTCTCAGAACTGTCGATGATGACAGACAGCTTTGTACTTGCCAAATCATTTTTATTCCTCTACTGCCATTGATCTTCCCAAGTACCCACCATAAATCAAGGCGAATGTCAAATGATATCTGTTGTGTATACAGAATAGTAATAATTAGAATACTTCCCCAGATAAGAAAAAATAGATTTGATTAGATTTGAACTGAAAAAGATGAACTGAAATATTGTTATACTTTTACATTTCAGAAAACAAGGGGGAAATCAAAGGACAGAATAAGGACAATGATAATGTCCTTTGCAAATAAGGACAGAAACTTTTCCTTCAATACCTGATAACATTTATCTTTGACATAAAGCAGCATGCATGTGAAATGATCTGGGTTTAATGTAATTAATTAATTCTGGTTGATGATGGACCAGCTGTCGACTGACTGGCCATCCTGACCTATCCCTACTTGAGATTTAAACACAGCACCTGCCCTACACTTGAGTGTGTAAGTCTTAATGGACATTTGCTCCCTTTTAGTGCTGCTCTCACATCTCTTGTCAAAAGCACAAGACCATCATCTCTCAACCTGTGACTAGTCAGCATCCTGCGGCTCCCAGTGGAGAAATATTAGTCTCTAACCTTTACTGTTAAGAGCCTGGCTGACACACACACACAGAGAGAGACATCCACAATGGAGAGCAGTTCAGGACATCTCAAGACTCTCAGGAGACCACTGAACCAGTAGCCTGTCCAATACTGCAGTCTCTGGAGGACAGCCTCTTCATGGCTTAATTGGGCCATACTGAAGCATGCTGGGAGGTTTACAGACTATGTAATATTAGCCTGGTATTCATAGTCCTTAAAAGGAATCCATAACTGATTTCAGAGAGATTAAGACAAGCAGATTTCCACATAAATATGTACACATATGTCATATAGGTGTTGCAGTAACATTGTGCTGCTTTTAAATGCATTTCTGACCCTTGAATATTACAACATGGTGGTTCTTCAGTTACCAGAAGCATTAATCTTTGCTTATGTTTTTGCAGGGAGTCATACATTTTATTAATGATTTATAAATAACTGTATGCCAGTTAAGCTACACTGCCCTTATGAGGGCATGTGCAAAGTCAGCGGAAAACAAAAACGTTATTTTAGGTCGCAACACACACACCTTAGTATTTCCTGTTTCCTATTTCAGCAAGATTAAATGCATACGTTTCTGCAGTATTAAAAGAGCAGCGGATAGGAATGTGCAAGTCTTATGTGTGAGCTGATCTGGTATTCTGCTGGGGCTTTGGTCCCTCACAGGCCTCGTTGAATTGTTTTAGGAAACAGATCAGCACTTTAAAGTCCTCAAGTCTGCGGATGTTTCGAAACTCAGAGGTTTTATTAGTTCAGTTCGTGGAAGAGCGTATACTCATCCAAATCAAATCACAAATCAACAGCTTGTGAAGGTGATTGGCAGATTTGCAGACCAGTTAGGATTAAGAGGAGGGGTTAATGCATCACTTCATCAGCCAACCAAACAGGTTGGTTAGTAGTCATCAATAAAACATCACAGGGAAGTTGGAGAGCCTGGTATCACCACACTCAAGTCTCGATTCTCGGTTTGTTCCCAGAACAATCTAGCTAGTGTGTCTATGAGCTCGTCTGACCGCAGATGTTTGTGCATTAGACAGCATAAATTCAAGAGGATGTCATCACATACTGGATTGAAACGGTCACATGCAGGTTGACAAAAAATCTTAATTTTCTTTTTCTTAATGCAGCTTTTTGGGCAGTTTGTGAACAATTAATTTTGCATGTTATTCCAAAGAAACTTTCATGCAAAAACATTAAAAATATTATAGAAATGGATTGTCAAGTCCCGCCTTTTTCATTTCACCCAGAAACAAGAGGTTTGCAGAAGCAATTCACATTGAGTTTAAGATTTTTAATTTTTTTTCCTACTTGTTCTTTTTTGGACTATAATTTAAGATCTGGCAAGGCAGAAGATAGTATAGTTGTGTAATTATTTGTGAGAGCCAGTAAGGACTTTATCCTGGGCGCCAGTGGAAGCTGCTTTTTGAAATTGTTGACTTCAGTGGGAGTTTCTTTCTCAGAACATGAGTGTTCAGGATTTCAGTGTTGGCAGTGATATAAAATGTGTCCTAATGCTTGAAGAGTGAACAGCTGCTTAGTAGGGATGCAACAATACAGTTATACATAGCCCACAGTACAATACATACCTTGTTTTTTAACCACGGTTTTTGGTTCGGTTCTGATGACTTGGCACATCAGAGGGTTTTTTTGTGATTTAAAATGTGATTTTTAAAACAAATTAACAACAACAATAAATACTTTTTTTACACTGGAGAAAAACATGGATTATCATTTGTCTACAAATTTATTTTTATTTTTACCCAAAATAGAATGGATTGGCCATTATTGAGTGCTATAAACACATGTAATGTTTCATTCATATAGGGATATGCCAATATCAAATTTTCATGTTGCGATTAATTGCTAATGCTTTTATCACGGTATGCGGTATTATCACGGTATTGAAATTGAGTTTAAACAGGTTTAATAACTTTTTTCTTATAACAAAAATAACTGAACATTTAAATGCAATAAAGCAATACTGAAAAATGTATAAAGCTAAATGTTTTACACAGATTAAAGTGCAAAAGAACTATAAAGACCAATAGGTATCACTTTACAATAAGACCTCATTAGTTAACCTTCATTAGCATTCACAATGAGCAATAGCTACATTTGCTACATAAGTTATTAATATTTGTTTGAAAAATACAAGTCTTAGTTCATGTTAGCTCATTAAATAACACAGTAAAATGCATTCAAAATTCGGAATAATTTGTAATATATAATTATTCACGGTATTTAGAAGTGCCCACGATAACAATATCGTGCATATTCATTACCGTGATATATCGCATTATCGAATACCGGCACAAGTCTACATTCATACTGAAAGCCGGAGGGACTCCACATATGCATCACAGAGGTAATAGAACTGATGACGCTCCAGGAAATCCCTAATATGGACAAAGGCATCCATCTATCACTGTAACTGCATAAAAAGAAGATACATGTTTTGAATGATGCAATATAAAGACAATAAACACTCATCTGCGACAATATATAGATTGTGTTCTTCAAGCCATCTCGGGTATTTTCATAATAAAATATATTTATAATCTATTGCTAATCAACATAGCCTTTTTTTATGGTATAGAATATATTTTATACATCATTCTGTGATATGAAGCCACATCAGATCACAAAAGGAAGTTATTTCAAAACATTTTGACATTTTGTGGAGTAAAAACATGTTATAATATTTTTGTTGGACAACAGTCATTACAAGGGAAGAAGTTTGGCGTGCGTTGCTTTTTCAAATGCACGTTATAAGTGGGGAGGTGTTTCCTCGTCTCACCGAGTGAACAATTTCAAAATCCTAATAGTTCCAAGTAGACTCTGCGATACACATCGCCCCACACTTTACCTCACAGTATTTGCATCATAGCAGCTTTTTGAGTGCTCAGATAAATTCTGCCTGAAGCAACAGTGAGAGGACTTAATTTAAATTAGAGCCATTACCCCATATGTTTTATCCTCTCTGATATATTGCCCTTCCTCCTCTCTGAGGCAATTGGAGTGATTTAGCCTTCCTCCCCAAGCACACATACCAGCCTGAGAACATGACTTTCGCACTCAAATGAATGTTTTCTGTGCTCTGAAGCCTGAGGGACTCTGTTCACTGGAGTTAAAGACTGTGTGAAGGCATCTAAGCCTATTCTCTGTATTACTTGTGGGGGAAAGGACATTGGATGTGTCCAGGTCTTGTATGTTTGTGCATTTTGACATCAGCTCAGTTAAAGAGTAACTGACTAAGGGCAGTTACGCTCAAACTACAAGCTGTTTACACAGTGTTTGTGTTCACGCTTTGTTCATTCACATGCTGTGCTCTTGCTCTGTCCACATGGATAACTTTGCCTGAATTGGATCTCAGCCAGTGTGGTCTAGAATCTGACACAGTTCACAAGGTTGAGAACTACTGTGTGAATCATCTCTTTTTCAGTCTGTGCTTGTGTGCGCTCTGCTATAAATCCTTCTCTTTTTCTCCTCACAGACTGATCCAGTGCGCTTGAAGCTCAGCTGATCCTTCTCCTCTTCGTCATTGTCGTGGTCAGCGCGTGCGTGTAAAGATGCCACCAGCGACAGGAGGGCCGGTGGGCTACACTCCTCCCGAAGGAGGCTGGGGCTGGGCAGTGGTGGTAGGGGCCTTTATCAGCATTGGCTTCTCCTATGCCTTCCCCAAGTCCATCACAGTGTTCTTCAAAGAGATCGAGGTGATCTTCAATGCCACCAGCAGCCAAGTGTCATGGATCTCATCAATCATGCTGGCTGTCATGTATGCAGGAGGTCAGTTCCGTTTACTGCTGTCACTTCTGTCCATCCTGGTACTTACTCTACTTATTTATCTCTCTGTGAGAATTGAATTGAAAATGTATTTATTATTATTTTTTATTTATCTAAATTACCCCTAAACATGTTCTCATTCACCCGTATGGGAATATTTTATTACATTGATAAATCAGTGTTTGGAGAAAGAGGAAAAAATAAGTTTAAAAGTTTGGGGTTGGTAAGATAATTTTTTGTTTATAAAAGTCTCTTTAATAATGTCTATTTAATAATGCATATTAATAATGTATTTTTAACTTAAACTTTTAATTTCAAACAAGTTTTGTTTGAAATTCCAGGTTTTTTGTTTTTTATTATTTTGTGTAATTTTTTTTAGTAAATTTCTCTTCCTGTCATAATTGAATACCATCCTGTCGATGTGGCCAATTCAAGTTGCTAAAACCAAATACAGTATAGACCTTATTAAAAAAAACATACTATATACAGGCATGCAGAAAAATCCAGAATATGAATGCAATGCTTAACATTTGATGTTAAGAATTTTCCAGTCGAAAACCATAATAAAGATTTAATTTGCAATTTAGTGCATCACATTCATATTCTGCGGTCATCTGCTCGCCTGTACTGTATAGAGTATGCATCATCAGTAAAGTGTATGGTTTGCATACACTGACTTCATTATGTTCATGTGGCTGTGCACGTAGCCTGAACTCAACAAAGAGGCTCTTCCAGTCACATATAACCTGAGAAAGTGAGAGTGATAGAGAGAGAGAGAGATGCTCTTGTTTCCTTCTCTTAAATCAGTTGGTGTAACTGTGCGTGTCTTTGAAAGGAAAAGTGTAGGTTAATAAATGTGAGCGTGTGCTGTAACTCGATGAATTAATATTTTTGTCTTTCTGTCCTCTTTTTTTCTTTCTGTCATAAGAGGCACTAAATTAAATATGCAAAATTATTTCAAACTCTGCTGACAAAAATGAATAACAGGATGTGATTTTACTTTAATACACTACTTTTCAAAAGTTTAGGTGCGGTTTTTATTCGGCAAGGATGCATTAAATTGATCAAAGGCAGCAGAAAAGACATTTATAATGTTTTTAAAGATTTATATTTTAAATAAATTCTGTTCTTTTGAACTTTGATAATATCGAATGTTTCTTGAGCAGCAAATCAGCATATCTGAATGATTTCTGAAGGATTATGTGACACTGAATACTGAAATAATGGCTGCTGAAAATTCAGCTTTGCCAGGATAGGAATAACATTTTTTTTTTTAAAGCACTGTGTTGTTTGCACTGTATTTTTGATCAAATATATGCAGCCTTGGTGAGCATAAAAGACTTCCGACCTCAAACTTTTGAATGGTAGTGTATATTATTTGTCTTTATTAAAAATTTAAATATTAATAAAACATTCCAAATATACTGCCTTGTAATAAATAAATAAATAAATAAATAAATAAAATGACAGTTTATTACATCTTTCATTTGACCAAGAGGTCAATCTGTGACTTTTAGACCCTCTATTGGTCAAACACCTTGTTGCTGTATTTTGCAGGTGTTTAGTATGCAGCAAAATGAGAAGTCAATACCAGGGATTCCCAAACTTTGTTGTCTGCTGAACTCTTTTGATCTGAAATATTTACTTCAGTACCCCTTTTAAGTTCATATTTCAAAAATTTAACGATACATGTTTTGTTATTTTTAATAAATATTTTCATAAAGTATTTAATTTAATTATACACTTTCACGATTTAATTATTCACTTTTCGTAAACTCACAAACCCTCTGCCCTTCCCTCATAAACTCCAATTTGGGAATGAATGAAAGAAAGTGATTTGAACACAAAATCTAGTGTAGCCCTTTAGTCCTGTACTTTTATTCAAGATCCAGAATCATTCTGAGCAAGATGATCTGGACACTTCCCGCAGACGTGTGTGTGTTCTCACCTGTTTCCCTTGACTCATGTCAGACTCGGCACTGATTTGACGTTATGCCATATAATATCTCTTTGTCATCTGTGGCCACATCACTGGCTGTTTTCAGCCTTGTAAAGTGTTTGATTTTTAGTAGGAGTCACACTGCTGCTCCTGTAAGTTGTACATTTGAAATTCTCGCCGTAAAAGCACAAGTAGCTCTCAGACTGAATATCTAAACCGTATCCTCTGCTGACTCACGTCTCTCTGAACCAGTTTATATAATCGTGTATGTGTGTATTTGGATCACTGCTGCCTTTGTTTCTTTTTTTGGGCTGGAAAAGATGGCCCGTTTGGTGCTACACAAAGCCTGTCAGAATAAATTAATTTGAGGAATGTGACTGGGGGACGGACAAATTGCTTTGAACTCTGATTGGCTGCGTGAAACCAAAAGGAAAGTTCCTCCTCCTGATGATAGATTAGCTTTTATGGTGAACTGGCACATGTAAAGTTTGCAGATATTTAATTTTAAGTAAGAATTTATAACAATTTTAGTGCTTTTTGTCTATACATTTCTGTACGCTAAAATAAACTATTTATTTATGAAGTCTTTTTTTTAAAGCTACTTGACATGTTAGCATTCGCTTGGGTTGTATGTACACAGTACTATTTGCTATGACGTTTTTATGGAGTTTGCACAAGATTCTTCTGCACTGTTTCAGATTCTCTCAATAACACTGTGATGGATTTGTCTAATATAGGTTGGGTTATTAGTGGAACCGTGCCAAACATCACTGTGTCTTTTCTGTGTTTATCATTTAAAAGTCTTAATAACCATGTTGACCAAACAACCTCTTTTAAAAGGCTGTGGAGTTTTGCCTTGTAAGTGATATTATTCAACTCTCATTGGTTTAAGGGTGATGCTGCTCTAAATGGAGCCTTTCACAAGAAAAGCAGAGCACTGACCACCAAGCAGTTTATTTATTCACCAAGAAAACCTGCCTCTTTTTGAATACACCCACATTTATTACTGCCACAGTACAGCTCAGGAATGTAAAAAAAAATACAATATTTAAGTATTTAATTAGTATATTAATATAGCTTGCAATTGTATTTGTGAGGGAACTTCCAGTAATTCCGTGGAGTAAAGAAAGGTCATATAAGGCCGCTGGTTGTGTTTGATTTACATAATGTTGGAGGTAAGTTAACTGAAATGAACACTGGTCTGCCACACACAGAAATAGCAAGTTCCAGTTCTGCTTGCTGGAGGCCAGTCTCATTCTGCTGATTACGTTTTTCTCCTCCACACCACCTCAGTTGATCACATGTCATTTAGTGAAGTGTGTGGTATCACAGTTTCCTTCCTCTGAATCGTCTGCTGTGTCCTCCTGCAGTCCTGGTGGTGTGAGTGACTGCCATCATGTGGTGGAACTATGTGTTTGCAACATTAAAAGGGTATAAATGTGGCCTGAAACTAGGCCTGTCGCAATAATCAATATATCGACTTAACGCACAATATATGTACATGACCTCAATAATTTTTGGTGACGCAATATATTGCCCATTATATTTACATAAAAATGAATGTCACCATGTTTTTTTGCATTCCACTTGCGCCAGTGTCTTTTGCAGCTACTTGTACATAACGTGGTGTAGTTGGTGCTAGTTCAAATTTAAAAAATGCTTCTACAAAAAAGTTTCATCTGCAGATATGGTCTTGTTTAGGGATCTGTGCCTTTGTGCATACGGACATCTGACTGCTAAGTACGGATTGTGTTTTTCAGCAATACAGTGCGCACCCTTAATTTACAGAGAAAAGAAGGTCCGGGAAAAATCTGTAGATGGAAAAATCTCCATACAAGTTCTTTGTGCATTTTTATTTTTTCCATTTGTTACTTTGCACTTTTTGTTAGAAAATGTTTCTTTACTATTTATTCAAGATTTTTAAGGTATCTAATAGTTTGATACTTAATTTGCATGATCTAAATATTCGTAAGAATTAAAAGTTTGTTGTCATTTGAAAGTGTGTTGGCCTTCTTGCATTATTATGCTTTTATATTATGGTTATATATTCAGTGGCATAAAATGGCCTTAAAATGACAATAATATTGTTTATTGCAATTATTTCTGGGGCCATATGTCACACAACAAAAAGTTGTTATCGTGACAGGCCTACCTGAAACTAACAAAGATTTTTATTTTTCAATAAATGGTTGGTAAAATGTTTGTTGTCAGCCTCGGGAGGACAAAGTAAATATTATGTGAGCTGTTTTGTATTCTATTTATTTGATAAGAGGTTTACAAATTGTGCACCCTGTATGGTGTGTGTGTGTTACTGTCTGTGTGGTTTTACTTTTTTCATTTAGTTTTGTTTTTTATTTAGCTAAAAATAAATACAGTTCAAGACTTATTTATTTTTATTAAATTCATAATTTATACTTTTTTTTTTATAGGTTTAGCTTTTTGTTTGTTTGTCGGTTTTTAATCCACCTGTTTTCTCTAAAGTTGACCATTTTTGTAAAACGTCATCAAATGAATGGAATATAAAACAATTACAAAATTGTTACCCATTCTGGTGATTTCTTTTTTTGTTATTTTATACTTTATTTAATTTTACTTACCTAAAAAAATGAGTACAGTTTAAAACATTTATTTTGCTGCTTTCTAAAAATTTGATAAACGACTTAAATTTACTGTTTATAAAAAAAGTCACAGTGGGTAACAGGGTTGCAAATTAGGTTTTAGTTTGTTTTTACTTTTTTAAACCCACCTGTTTTCTCTTAGGTTTTCAAGCTTTGCAAACATCATAACAAAAGAATATAATATAAAACAACAATTATATAATCATTACCCATTCTGGTGTGTTTTATTTGTATTATTTTAGGTTTTATTTTTTTTAATATTTTATTTATTTTAGCTATAAATAAGATGTGTATTATTTATTATATAAAATTTTTTTTAGCCAACCTGTATTCTCTCAACAGGACCGCTCAGCAGTATTCTGGTGAATAAGTTTGGTAGTCGGCCAGTCATGATTGTTGGGGGCTGTCTGTCTAGCACAGGATTAGTCGCCGCATCCTACTGTAACACAGTGGAGGGTCTGTACTTCTGTGTGGGAGTTATAGGCGGTAAGTACACCGAATGACACGGATCATAACTATTCAGAGACCTGAAGACTGAGTGAGTACAATTAAATAACGAAAGTTTCTGAATCTGTTTTCTCCCATTTCTAGGACTGGGCTTGGCATTTAATCTGAATCCAGCATTGACCATGATTGGCAAATACTTCTACAAGCGCCGGCCAATAGCTAATGGCATTGCGATGGCGGGCAGCCCAGTGTTCTTGTCCACCCTTGCCCCGTTTAACAGCTGGCTGTTTGATCAGTTTGGGTGGAGGGGCAGTTTCTTCATTCTGGGTGGAGCTTTGCTGAACTGCTGCGTTGCGGGGTCGCTAATGCGGCCCATTGGACCAAAACCACAACCTGCCAGTCCAAAAGATGATGGCGAGCCCAAACCTCAAGAGAAAAAAACATGCATTCAGACCATCAACAGCTTCCTGGATCTGACCCTGTTCACTCACCGAGGCTTCTTGCTGTACCTGCTCGGAAATGTCATCATGTTCTTCGGCCTCTTTGCACCCCTTGTGTTCCTCAGTAACTATGCGAAGAGTAAAGAGATTTCCAAGGATAAGGCTGCGTTCTTGTTGTCCATCCTGGCCTTCACTGACATGATCGCTCGGCCGTCCATGGGCCTGGTGGCCAACACGCGCTGGGTCCGTCCACGCATCCAGTACTTCTTCGCCGCATCTGTGCTGTATAATGGCGTCTGCCACTTGTTGGCACCACTCTCCACCGATTACGTGGGTTTTGCCATTTATGCTGTGTTTTTCGGTGTGGCTTTCGGCTGGCTGAGTTCCGTGCTGTTTGAGACTCTCATGGACCTGGTGGGCGCTCAGAAGTTCTCCAGTGCTGTCGGGTTGGTCACCATTGTGGAGTGTGGGCCTGTGCTGCTGGGTCCTCCGTTACTGGGTAAGGCTGAGTGTAAATCCTTTTCACTTAAAGGTCCACACAAAAATGGCAATTGACTTACCCTCATGTCATTCCAAACCAGTATGACTTTTCTTCCACGATACGAAAAACAATATGCTGGTAACCAAACAGTTTTGGTTACCCTTGACCATTTTATGTTCCACAGAAAAAAAGTAAGTAATTCAGGTTTGTACATTAGGGTAAATGATGACAAAATTTTCCCTTTAACATTTATTTTTGTTAAATGTTGATGCACGTTTAAATGAATATATAAAGTGCTTGAATATTCAGTTTAATTTAATTATTTATTATTAATAAATGTATTAATTTTAGGAGTGTCATTTTAGTTGAACATCAACATTTTAGGGGTACATTTTATATTTTTATCAAAAATATTCATATATAAAATGAAATAATAATTTTATAATGTAATTTTAACGATTTTATAGTAATAATGTGTAAAATGCTTGAATATTTGGTTTAATTATTTCTGAATTTAAAGGGTATTTTTGTCAAACATAGTTATATAACACTAAATACTGCTATATTAATATTCATGATTTTAATGTTAATATAAAAAGCTTGAATATTTAGTTTAATTTTACATTCTCATCAACTAAAAAGTTACTAAAATTTATGAATATGACATGACAGTATTGACTAAAAGAATGTTTTTAACAAAGATATTAATATATACAAATACATATTAAAATGAAAAATAATAAATATTTTAAAGTGATGATTATTACAATTAAATATGTAAAATGCTTAAATATTTGGTGTAAAATGCTTGAATACAAAAACAAAAAAATACATTTATTGACTAAATGTAAAGAATACTTTTATCAAAAATATAAATATATAACATTTTATATTAAAATGTATATAAAATTGTATAATAAATATAAAAATATTCATAATAATAATTAATGTTGTTATTATTACTGTTACTAAAATGAGTATGACTTAATAAAATGATTAAATTGAAACTAAAATGGACAAAATTTTAAAGATTTTTATCTAAAGTAAAATATTAAAAAAGAAGAAGAAAAAGCACTGAGCCATTTGAGAGAAGTCTGTGGTCTTCTGGCTCTGTGACACCATCTAAACGTTGCTGTTTGTTTGAGCATCTCAACCAGTTTGTCATGGCAACATTGGCTCAACCAATGGCGTGAGATTGGGGCTGGACTTTTCTGCTTTAATTGCATTAATCACTGAATGTCATAGTATATCCTGTCCCAGTTAGTGTGTAAAAGAGACTGACAAACCCGTTTGTCCTTTTCTTCCATTTCTGCAGGAAAACTCAATGATGATTACGGTGATTATAAATACACATATCAGGGTTGTGGAGTCATCCTGGTGATTGCCAGCATATTCTTGTTCGTGGGAATGGGAATCAACTACCGGCTAGTGTACAAAGAGAAAAGGGAGAAGGAGAGAAGAGCTAGACAGGAAGAGAGGGATGAAGAGACGAACATAGACAATGCCCTGAACGAGAAGGCAAGGGAGGCGGATGGAGACGCATTGGATGCGTGAGCTGATGTTGCCAAATGAAGAAGGACACGATATTATGTGGACAAACACCAACAATCCATGTCTTTGGGTTTTGACCGTCCAAAATGATAATCACAAATAATTTCCCCTCTAATGCATCACTTAACGATTCGGCCAGTGTTTAAAACAGCACAAAGGACTATGATGCCAAGAAATTCTCTTTTATGCAATCCCACACACACCTCAGATGTTACCATCACTCTCCCAACATTCATATGAGAGTGTCTCTGTACCTAATTTCACAATTCACCTTTTTGTGGTATATTATAACCATTACGAGAGCATTCCTAGATTTTAACTCCAGAATAACAGAGGTTATACACCGTTAAATGAAGCCACAATATGCACATTTCAACCCTTTTAGAGTATTATGATGTGTGACATTTAAGGAAACATGCACACAGAATTTGTCAGTTCAAGACATAGAAGAAAGAGAGATCTTTGACTCTACTGTCTGTCTTCCATCTTAGAAATAGTGTTTTTGGACTAAAGGTCATTATTATATGTAGGATACACATTTTTGTTTTCTTTTTTTTTTTTTAAGTTGAGTGTGAAGTTTTTTTGTTTTGGGATATGTATGTAGTCTTCCCTGTTGTGATTGGCTGGTAGAAAATAGTGCCAGGCTTTGCTAGACTGCCATATAAAGGCAAAACAGAAATTATGTCAAGACTGATTAAGTTTTTGGATTGATTTATCAACTTTTGTGCTCTGAACATGGTTTAGGAAATCCGGTCTGTCACGGGACAGATCATAAACTTGAATTCACTCATGAAATAGGGCAAAATGTGTAATTACTGTGTTTTGCCATTGCATGGCAGAATAATTTTTTACAGAGCCTTTTGCAATGTCAGGAGGATGTGTAGTGATTTTAATTTGATAGTCTGCTATTAATTTGCTCTTTTCTGTCATACTAAGGGGAGGGTAGAGTGCTTCATTTCAAACTGAGCCAGCAACAAACGGTACTGGATTTGTGTTGGCTAGAGATAAAGAAGACTTCATTTCAAGTTCTGCTCGTGTTAAGCTGCACTCGCGTTTATTTGCAAAACGAAGGTGCTTATTCTTTTTACAAACTCAGATAGGTGAAGGAATATTCTTGAAGTTTCCCAAGCCATCCTATTCCTTCTGCTTTGTAGATTCGCCGAGCACGTGGAAAACAACACGACTCTCGAGTCTGCAAAAAGAAGATTTAGCAGATCTCAAACATCGTGACAGTTTTGACTCTCTAGACTAGAGTGAGCCAATTTCAGGTGAAAACATTGAAACAAAAGGGAGGAAACACCACCACCTGCTGGCTGCTGTCGTTCATTGTGATGCTGCGGTCAAATATGTGAATCAAAGATGCTGCTTCACTGCAGTTTTTGTTTCAGCGAAGGTGTAAATCTGTTCTAGCGTTGTTGTTTAGTCACAGCAGATGGCAGTTTTTGTATAGTGCACTTTAATTAGGTACATTTAATGTGAAATTCATACTCTTCTTGAGTTTTGCGCACGCAGCATTCACAGTGTAAGGCAATTTATTTTACGTTTTTTCCGGAGTAGAAATGTGAGGGATGTGTGCTTTTATACAGTTCTCTGGTGTGGCGGAGTTGGTAATGTAATCTCAGAGCTCGGCTGAATAATAGCAGCTGTGAGACAAAACAGTAGAAAGAGAATCGGAGCAGTTAACGACTCATTTTCAGTATCTTAGGTAAGATCGGTATCGCTGCTCCGACTGCACTTCTCGTACAGGATCAGAGCTGTCTGAACTCTACTCCACTTTGTGTGCAGGTGGATTTCTTTTTAGTGTTGGTAATTGTGTGAAGAAAAATAGGCCACTGCTGTGTAGAGAAAATGGACCACCCTGAAAAAATGCATTGAAAATGGTAAAGCCTGTTTACTCTTCTCATTTTTCCATCGTAAAAGTTCAAAGTATTTTCAAAAGTATTCCCACTTTTTCTTGTGGGTCCATGTAACAGAAGTGACACTAACAAACGTGCTTTTAAAATGTCTCCTGTCAGAAAGACGATTGATTCAGTTGAAGAGAGACAGGGTTAGGAAGTATGTATTTGTGTGTGTGTGTGTGTGTGTTTGCACAGAAATTCCATGCAAACTCACGATTTCATGATTAATTTAGGAGAGTGGGTAGAGTCGGGCCCTTATAAGGTATTCAGGGCAGAGGAAAAATAATTATATTTTTAGGTATTTTAAACAATATTACGTGTGAAATTTTGTATGTTTTGATTTGTGTGTGTGTGGACGAGCAAGTCAATAAACTTTTTTTAAAAATGTGAATGTGTTATTACTGTGTGAGAAATATATAAATTCTGATAAAATAATCATTGCTTGGTGCATACAGCTTATAGGTTATGATGGGGCTCGGAGACTTTTTTTTTTTTTGCTAAAAAAAAAAATACTCTGATAAATATTCACTAAAGTCAGTTTCTATGTAGACATGTACCTCTTAAGTCTTAGTTATTGAACATTTCCACCATATGAAAAATGTCTAATGGTAATGAGGCATGTTGTCACTATATGGGGGCACAATAGAATGTGGCAATAAACCTAGGCATTTCAGCTTAATTTTAATAGTACAGCAATTATGAAAATATAAAAGGCACAAAAAATATCAACTTGTGTACATTACACATATTATATGTGTGTGTGTGTGTGTGTATATATATATATATATATATATACACTGCTGTTCAAACGTTTGGGATCAGTAGATTTTTAATGTGTTTTAAAGAAGTGTCTTCTGGTCATCATGGCTGTATTTATTTGACCAAAAATACAGAAAAAACAGTAATATTGTAAACTATTATTACCATTTAAAATAATGTTTTTCTATTTGAATATACATTAAAATATAATTTATTTCTGTGATGCAAAGCTGATTTTTCATCATCATTACTCTAGTCTTCAGTGTCACATGATCCTTCAGAAATCATTCTAATATGCTGATTTACATTTACATTACATTTAGTCATTTAGCAGACACTTTTATCCAAATGAGGACAATGGCAGCAACAAGAGATCAACAAAATCAACAAGAGAGCAATGATATGCAAGTGCTATAACAAGTCTCAGTTAGCTTAATGCAGTACACGTAGCAAGGTTTTTTTTATTTGTTATGTAATAAAAAGAAAAACAGAATAGAAAAAGAACAGAGCAAGCTAGTGTTAGAGGCCTTTTTTTCTTTTGTTAATTGTATAATAAATAAAAAGAAAACAGAGAATACAAAAAGATTAGAGAAACTAGTGTTTTTTTTTTAAGAAAACAAGCAGTTAGTAAATTAACAGTGCAAGTCTAAAAGGGGAAAGTTTTTTTTCCGTTTTTTTAAAGAATAAAATTAGAATAGAGAGTGCTAGAGTTAGAGGGTCAAATAAAGATGGAAGAGATTCTTGAAGATGGACTCAGCTGCTCGGATTGAGTTGGTTGGTTGATTTATTATCAATGTTGGAAACAGCTGTGCTGCTTCATATTTTTTGGTACTTTTTTCAGGATTATTTGTTGAATAGTTAAAGCAGCACTATGTAACTTTTGGCGCTCTAGCGGTTAATAAACAGAACTGCACACATCCCGCGGAAGAACGTTCCAACCGGAGCTACTTCTCTAAGTTTATGTCTATGGCGATTCACGCAGGTATGTGTTACTCCGCAGCGGTGACGACCCGACCAGGCTACAATAGTCCAAATATAAGTACTTATTATAAGTGTACCGTAGTGATTCGGAATAAGACAAAAATGCGGTTTGGAAGATGAATTCATGATGTACTCGCTCATTATATACATTAAGCAAATTTTAAATACAGAAAAAGTTACATAGTGCCGCTTTAAAGAGAACAGCGTTTATTTAAAATAGAAATCTTTTCTAACAATGTAAGTTTTTATTATCACTTTTTATCAATTTAACACGTCCTTGCTAAAAAAAAAAGCATTAATTTCTTTCAAAAGAAAAAAAATTACTGACCTCAAACTTCTGAATGGTAGTGTAGGCTATATTGCAACAAAAGATTTTTATTTTGAATAAATGCTGTTCTTTTTAGCTTTTTATTCATCAAAGAATCCTGAATGAAGTATCACAGGTTCCAAAAAAAAAAATTAAGCAGCAAAAGTGTTTCCAATATTGATAATAAATAAGAAATAATGATTTCTGAAGGATCATGTGACACTGAAGACTGGAGTAACGATGCCGAAAATTCAACTTTGCATCACAGGAATAAATTATATTTTAAAGTATATTAAAATAAAATACATTATTTTAAATTGCAATAATATTTTACAATATTACTGTTTTTTTTCTGTATTTCTGGTCAAATAAATGTAGCCATGATGAGCAGAAGATAATTCTTTAAAAAACATTACAAATCTTACTGATCCCAAACTTTTGAATGGCTGTGTATGTACGTTTTTATTTATTTATTCAATTTTTTTAAAACAATGCACTTACCCATCTGCTGTAGTGTGTTTCTGGTATTTATGGATTTTTTTAATGGTACCACTATTTGTATAGTCTTACTTTAATTGGTTCCACTTGTATTGCCATTTGCAAGTCGCTTTCATAAAAGCATCTGATAAATGAATGAATGTAAACTTAGAATATTCATAATATTTGACAACTATAGCACTAGCATGCCTGAAAACAGTTCAGTCTTTGAGTTACCTTCATTGTACAGATGGAGGACAGAATTTATGCAAATGTTGGCCTATATTGTATATTTTGAAAAACAAAATCACTGCTTTGCATTTTAATTAGTCGTTTGACTGAAAACTTCAACGTTACTGACAAATAACCCTTGTGACAACTAACCTCGGTCTTACAAATATAGTGGTCAAGGGGGAAAACTTTTTTAAGTGAAGCTTCATTATCACGGAAATAGATAGGCTACTATAACTTCACCACTAGGTGGCTATAAACTTGCAGATCCTGTTTTACCTGTATTTCCAGACAAAGTATGTACAATACAATTATACAATACAATAAGTATATAAGCATGTACTATATCTATTGAAATACAATAATTACGCTATTGTTAAAAACAAAACTATAAACTGTGTATATAAAAAACGAAACAAATATAAAACATAAAAATCGCAGGTGCAGACAAATCCTCCTCAGCTGCCCCGAGGTCGTCTCCATGGGAACCAATATGAAAAACAAACTCAAACACAAAGGAAGATTTATTGCGGAGCCGATTTGTAATTGGAAAACTGTTGAAACGGCTTGTGGTCAGCAAGGAAAATAAAAGTTCTTGTTTGAATTTAAGCACATTTTGAAGGCTGAAACAGCTGCGAGTACATTTATCTGGGATGTCGGCCACAATTAACCCGCTAGCAAATCCTAAAGGAGTAAAGAAGCTGTGCGAACTTTGCCAGGAACCTGCAAAACTTCAGTGCACAAAATGCCTGGTCACATTTTACTGGTGAGTCTGGAGCCTTCGGGTTATTCAGTTAACTTGTGTGTTTTTGTCTTTATATTATCCAACCGAGTACCTTAAACTAGTACGTAATGCTCCATGGTGTAACTGCGCGTACAGACAGCAGGTGGCACCATAGACACACATGTCATGCTCGCAATCTTGGCCGTTACTGCAGAGATGGAAAGGTTGAACGAGTTCAAACAGCTGGAGGACAAATTATGTGCAGAGAGAAGAGAATAGCCAGCCATGCGTGCTTAAACACAACCAGGAAAAAAGAGAAAGAATATTGACTGGGAAAATGTATGTGTTTTGTGTGCATGCGTGGAGTTTTCCCTTGCTGTTTTTAAAGACGCCACAATCCTCACAACCATCTACGGCAGGGGTATTCAATTAAAGTTCCAAGAGGTCCGGTCTCTATATTTCCTTCCCAGTGGAGGTCCGGACAATATATAGGAATAGTCATTATACATTTCCATCTGGCCACCAGTAATGCTTTGTAAAAGAAAAAGTCCAAATAGTCATCAAAGACGAGGATATTGGGTCCTCAGAGCCAAGTGCCAGTGGCTTCTGAGAATTTTCCTATTAAAAACAAATCCTCAGTTGAGGCCAATTAGATTTGAGTATTAAAAGATAAGATCAGATGTTTTATCAAAGACTCTGGAATGTGTGTTTGTGTGTGTGTGTGTGTGTGTGTGTGTGTGTGTGTGTGTGTGTAGTAACTCTGACCACCAGCAAACTGACTGGACCAGTATTCATGGGAAAGTCTGTCCGTTGCTGGTATCTATCCACACACCTGCACCATTCAGCGCACTGCAGTCTGACCGAGAGCACCACCACAAAGAAACACTGAAGAAACAGGTTTGTATGTACTCCAGCAAGTAAACTGGAGCAAATGGTATGCCAACAGAGCAGATGTCTAACTAGTCAGTGTTTTTGACACTAGAAACATCTAGCAGAGATTGCTCATTTGGAGTCGCAGAGGTGGGTGTCCAAGAAAAGGTTCCAGGATGTGTTACCGGCCGCTCTCCTATTCTTGCGCTGGGCCATGCGGGTGTACGGATCCTGTGCTGTTGAACTGGTACCAGCTTATCTACTGCTCGCACAGGCTAATATAGGTGAGACATGCATAGAAACACATCTGCAAAAATCAACACAGTGCTGTGCTAATATTAAATCTCTCCAAGGTCCATTAGATTGAGAGCCACTGCTAGACTTCACAGTTCTAGAACCTCTCCAGAGGCTGACCGCCAATAACTTCCACTTCAGTAGAGAATGGAAACAAACGTTTGCTAAAATCTGAGGCTGGCGTTGAGCCGTTTACTTCCTGTGGGACGGTCTATGGGTGGGCTCAAGGGCGGTGCTTGGACATGAACTGAGGGGAGAGACAATTGTTATGTAATTCAGGATGTGGCAGACTAGTCATGCAGAGGTGTACTGTCTCAATGAGAAACTCTTGCATTGAAAGCTCTTCGTCATGAACTCCATCTCCATTTCTGTGACAAGAAAATCAAAAAGTTAGTTTATTTACATTTTTTTATTTCTTTTTCAAACAAATGCTGTTCTCTGAACTTTCTTTTCATCAAAGAATCCTGACCAAAAATCATGGTTTTCACAAAAATATTAAACAGTACAATAATGAAAATAATAAGAAATGTTTCTTCAAATCAGCATATTAGAATAGAATGAAGGATCGTGTGACACTGAAGACTGGAGTAACTAATGACTGCTGAAAATTCAGCTTTGCCACCACAGAAATAAATTACTTTTTAAAATATATTAAATATAAAACAGTTGTTTTAATGAATAATTAAATTGATATAATATTTCACAGTACTGTTTTACTGTATTTTTAAACAAATATATGCAGCCTTGGTGATCATTTGACTTCTTTTAAAAGCATTTAAAAAAAATTTACAGACCACAGAAAAATGTTTAACAAAATTGCAGAGCATGCATAAATTAACAAATAAATAATTTTTTAATTAAAATAAATTATATTATATATTTTAATTTAAATGATATTATAACATTTTATATTAAAATTAATCCTATAAAAAAAACGTAATTTCTTTATATAGTTATTAAAAGTTTGCATGATTGTTCCCTTCCATGCATATTTAAAAGGTTTTAAAGACAGAAATATAGCATTGTTTTCATGGATTTACACTTGCGCTCATCTTCTCACAACTAGAGAGACGGCAGACATGAGGACATTTCCAGTAAGTGAATATAGTGAGCAGCTGATGCTCGCTGGATTTGTTTTACGGTGGATTCAGAGGATTTTTTGGGAGTGAAAGTGGAATGATCAGACACCCATAGGAATGGCCAACTCCCTGGGGAGTGCACTATTAAACTAGGGAGCGGATTGAGACACACCCCTGATAATTAAGCTTCTGTCTATATGGATAGATGGGATGCTTTGTATGCTGAGAATTCTCAGTGGCTGCTTTCAACTTGTTTGACAGATGAGCAAACCAGGCATGAATCTTTAAAACATTGGATGTCTATTCCAACAGAAACATCAAAGATGGTTGTATTGAGTAGAGAGACCTTCTAATAGGCAGGCTAACTTAAAGTCAAGAGGCATCATTCATTCATTTTTTTCATTCATTACATGTTTTTAATATAGCGCTTTTCTAGGCACTCAAAGCGCTTTACATTGTCAGGGGGTATCTCCTCATCCACCACCAGTGTGCAACATCCACCTGGATGGCATCAAGGACACTTTGTTCATAATGTATGTTGTTTGTGTGTGTTAAAGGTTTAGGTTCTCTCTCCCAGGCACATGAGTATCTGTCTAAGGCTGAGTGGACAGTAATGAAAACACCAGGCTGCAGTCACACTGTCCTTCATCAGCTACACAGAACCCTGGGTCGCCTGCACGCTGCCATGGAAAAATACACATCTGCTCTCACTCACTTTGCCAATGACGTATGTCCTAAAATGTGTGGAACACTGTCACTGGATTGCATGTACAGAATTATCTGCCATGACTTATTGCTGATGCATGTTTGTGTGGTAATAAATATTAGGATTTTGTAGGAATATTGCAAGGCCCTTTGAAACACTTACTTGGTCAGTTGTGGCGTACTGGCATGAATAATTTTAACTAAAAATCTATATTTTATGTACATTTATTGATATAATTTATTTATGTGTGTATTAACTACAAAACTGACTGTACATATTTTTTTTTCTATGTGTAGGTGTATTATGCCAGTGAAATGTTTGGTTTGGGCAGTACTGTGACATCTGGAGGATATTTTCTTATGGCTGATGTGTTTCTGAAGCAAAACAAGCCTGACATTGCCCATTCGCTCTACACAGAGGTGGGAATACCCACCATCAGCACACATTGAGACATCTGTCTCTGTGAAATGTCTCTCATCACATTGCGTGCGTGTGTACAGGTGGCAAATTCATGGCACACTCACCTGTGTAAGCTGATGGATGGTATCGGGCAGAGCGGCACTCAACCAGAGAAGTGTTTTGGTAAGACAGTAAACCTACACAAAGACACGTCCGCAAACATTATTCATCCAATCCATTATTCATCCAATCAGCATATTTTCTGGTGAAATATAAATATATATATGTACTATTCAAAAGTTTGGGGTCAGTTTTTTTTAACGAAATGAGTACTTTTAATGTGCAAAGACGCATTAAATAGACCAATTTGCAAACAGTGATGGCCTTTTTGTTGGCTGAGCTTATCTAGTGGCAGAATATGAGTTTTAAAGTAGCAGTCTATGGAAGCCATGGAATAAAAGAATAAATTTTTTTTTATAATTTTAAGGTTTATATTTCAAAATTCAGACTTTTTTACACTAACAGTCAAAAGTTTTTGAACAGTAAGATTTTAAACGTTTTTTAAATAATTATCTTCTGCTCACCAAGCCTGCATTTATTTGATCCAAAATACAGCAAAAGCAGTAATATTGTGAAATATTTTTACAATTTAATTATTTACTATTTAACTATTTGAATATATTGTAATATGTAATTTATTCCTGTTATTTCAAAGCTGATTTTTTTAGCGTCATTACTCCAGTCTTCAGTGTCACATCATGATCCTTTAGGAATCATTCTAATATTCTGATTTGCTGCTCAAAAAACATTTATTATTATTATTATTATTATTATTATGTTGAAAACAGCGGAGTAGATTTTTTTCAGGTTTCTTTGATGAATAGAAGGTTCAGAAGAACAGCATTTATATGAAATAGAAATCTTTTGTGACATTATAAATGTCTTTATCATCACTTTTGATCAATTTAAAGCATCCTTGCTAAATAAAAGTATTAATTTCTATCATTTCTTTCCCCCCGCCCAAAAAATAAATAAAAATTATACCAACTCCAAGCTTTTAAATGTATAGAGTATAATGTTACAAAAGCTGTTTATTTCAGATAAATGCTGATCTTTGGATCTTTCTATTCATCAAAAAAATTCTGAAAAAAATGAACTCAACTGTTTTAAATATTGATAATAATAATAAAAATGTTTCTTGAACAGCAAATCCTGAGAATGATTCCTGAAGGATCATGTGACACTGAAGACTGGAGTAATGATGCTGAAAATGTAGCTTTGATCACAGGAATAAATTACATTTTAAAATCTATTCAAATAGAAAGCAGTTATTTTAAATAGTAAAAATATTTCACAATATTACTGCTTTTGCTGTATTTTAGATCAAATAAATGCAGGCTTGGTGTGCAGAAGAGAATTCTTTAAAAAACATTAAAAAATCTTAGTTTAAAAACCTTTGACTGGTAGTGTAATCTCAGAATTCTGATAAGAAAAATCAGCTGGTCATTCTCTCTTTTCTCCTCGGCTCAGAATATATCCCACACTTCTGGCTTTTTTCCTCAGAATTGACAAACTCGCAATTGTTGAGTTAAATTGAGTTATAAAGTCCGAACTAGGAGATATAAACTTGCATTCGCAAGAAAAAAAAAACAGAATTGTGAGATAAAATGGGTCAATGTTATGTTAAATTTTATAGGTTTAAATAGTATTTCATGCTGTAACTGTAGGGCTAATACAATATGTCCCCTATGAACTGCAAATGAGAATATTATGTAGACATCAAATTTATGCTTTAAAAGTAGGGTAATCAGCAGGTTTCATCCATAGTCTGTCCGTTTTAACCTCCAAATTCAGCTTTGCTGTCACAGTAATAAATTAGAAAATAGTTATTGTAATTTAATTAAATTGCAGTAATGTTTAATAAATGGAGTCTTGTAGGGAATCAGCTTCTCAGTCTTCTCACCAAAACTGTCCAGTGTTTTGATAATATTCAAGTCATGTGATTGAGCTGGCCAGGGCAGATGTTGAAATTCATCCTAGTGCTTCCAGGTTTTATGATCATGACAGCATATTTATACGTTTTTTTTTTTTACATTTTAGCATAGGCGTCTGTGATTAACGTTTTAGCAAATTGCAGCTTTTTCATGAATGCTGGCTTTGTGAAGTTGTCTGTGGTCGGTTTTTGCGGAAACAAGGCTCAAGGTCTTCAAGGAATATTGAGATTTGCTGTCACTTTGCAGAAGTAGTTCTATGTTGTTTGAACAGTACTTCTTAGTGTTTGACAGTCTCTGTCTTTCACTTTCTGTTTCTGCCCACTGTTCTTCTTCTCTAATGAGGTCTTGCCATGCTTTCTGTATGTAGTCATAATCATAAAGACTGTTGTTCCTAAAACACCAAACAATTAGGTCGTTAGGGTTACAGATGCTCCTGTTAAACAGGCTCCCATGATTTGTCCTTTTTGGAAATCTGACAACTCACTCATTTCACAGATGGCTTGTAACATAAATATCTAATAAATATAAAGGTTTTTTTTATTTTTATAATTAATATGGATAAATTAATGCACATTACACTTTGAACTTACAAATAAAAACTTAATTTTAATATGTAATTGATATCTTGATATATTTAATTTGTTTATTGTTACGATGTCATGAAATGTCATGTGTATGGTGTGGATTTAATCTATCATAAGCTTTTAAAGCAGCCTGTTTCGGTTCCGACATGATTGTATATGTTTATGTATTAGTTTGTATGAAGTTAGCGTTATATTTAGAGCCATGAGGTTGTGTCCTAGAGCAAAACCTAGTTTATTTCACTGATAACCAAGATCAAACATGACACAGCCGTGAGTACGTGCAGCGCTCCTGTCCTAGTTCTCTCTAAGCCTATTAACCTCAGCGCTGTTTTGGCTAAGTCTTCCAGTGACGTGGCTGGCTTTGCTCAGTGTGGCTGGCTGGTCAGTGGTCAGTACGCTTGATCCTTTCTGCTTTCTGGCCTCACACTGACTGACCCAAGGTCAGTAGACTGGCGCCGGTTCTGCCCTCTGGCTAGCCACATCATATTATAACTTCTGACCAGATGACTCTATAGCAGGAAACAGCTCAGCCGGCCTTGCTCTGCATGTCCTGGTGGATGCGACTGCACAGAGCTACAACAACAAGCATGACCTGATATCAATCAGGGACACAGACTAGCCAGAGTTTTATTCTTTTTGTCTCTGTGGAGCAGACGGTCATATTGTATCATTGGTCAGTGAAGTCATACATCCAACTATGCTCACTGTTCAGTCAAGCAACTTTAGTAACACTTTACAATACAGTTTAATTTTCTAATGTTTGGTAATGCAGTAGGTATCAGCATAATTATTTTTATTTTGTTTATAAATGAATACATTTAATGTTTAACAAGTGCTAATTTATAAAAATTCTACTGTTCATTGTGCATTTGTTTGTTCGTAATACTTGAATTTTAATGTTAGAAAAATAACAAAAACGAATGATATAAGTTAATATTTGTTTAATTATTTTAATAATATTATTACAATTTAAATTAATTAATTTATTAAATATATAAATTTTCTATGGTGTTATACTCTAAAAATGATTTATTCCTGTGATGGCAAAGCTGAATTTTCAGCAGCCGTTGCTCCAGTCTTCAGTCACATGATCCTTCAGAAATCATTCTAATATGCGGATTTTCCACTCAAGAAACATTTCTTATCAATGTTCAAAACTCTTGTTTTTCTAGAAACCCTGATACATTTTTTTTTTATTCTTTGATGAATAGAAGGTAAAAAAAAAAATATATATATATATATATAATTTTTACATTATACATTTATTTATTGTCACTTTTGATCTGTTAAATGTGTCCTCGCTGAAAAGTAATATTCATTTCTTTTGAAAAAAAAATCTCACTGACCAGACTTCTGAACAGTGGTGTAAATATGATGGAACATTATGCAATAAAATTATTTGGAAACAAATTATTCATAGACTAGGTTGTTGGCGGATTTCTGAACTGGCACCAGGGAGTGTTAATGCTTATCCTAATGGACCAAGCTCTAGCATGGTTATCAGCCAATTCAGCCAATCTTAAAGTGGTCAAATATTGGCTGATTTATCAGCCTGGCCAACAATGTCAGATAGGAGCAACTCCCTATAAGGGGATGTGTTTCAAAACACTAGATGATAGATCATGTTTCTGAATACCTCCTAGAGATTATTCAACAGAAATCATCATTCAGTCTCTTTCACAGATAGATCTGGTTTCTCAGAATCAAACTGCTGCACTCACCTGTGACTATTATAGCTGACACTGATCTTCCTCTTTTGTGTGTAGATGAGGCCCAGTGTGTGGAGGCTGATCAGATGTTGAGCTGTATCTTGGAGTTTGAGGAACAGTGTGTGAAGCCTCGCCCTGACCAGTCAGCCATGTTGGCACATTCTCTGGCTATGCTGTGGTTACTATGCAACAACTACACCAAGGTAAACAATAAAGGTTGACCAATTAAAATATTCCATTCAGACACTTCATGAGATACATTTACAGTATGTTCTTGAATTCAACACTGACCTCCTCACCAGTGCTCTGGATAATCAAATCATAGTAAATAACCAAATGTCTAATTAAATTGAAAGTTCTGATGTGGAATGTTTGAATTCGACTTGGATGGATGTCTTGCTGTGAACATGTTTAAGTTCTATTGACTTCAGTGCAGATTAACACTAAAGGCTAAAGCCATGATGAAAATTGACAGTCAGACTGTTCCACTGCTATTCTAGTTGTAATGGGATTCTCCGTTAGCATTCCTCCGACTTCCACTACATCTCAGACTACAGTTTAAATCCCCAGTTCTTATCGCAAACTTGTTCAAACTCCCAGCTCTCATATCAAACTACAACAAAACTCCCTAATTTATCACTTCACAGCTCCTCAGCTCTTATATCAAACTGTTAACATCCCATTATTCGTCAAACTACACTAAACTCCCTGAATAAAAACTTACCACACTGTCATATTAAATAGGCGATATTGTTCCGCTCTTCATGCGTTTGAAAATTAGGTTTCCCTTTTTTGTTTTTGGTATATATTTCTTTTATGTTTTTGTGTTTGTGTATATAGGCATTGGAGTATGGGAAGAAGGCTGAGGTGTTGATCCAGGGGTTAAGTGAGCAAAACAGACTGAGAGAGTCTATCCATAATCTACTACAACATGCTGAAAAACAGTTGGAATGAGACTGGCCACTAAACTACACACCGCAAACAAATCAAAATGGACCACAATATACAGCACAACAACAGTCAAACTGTCTTTACACTGTACAGTGTTCATATTCATTCATTAAATCCATCGATATTGGGAGATATTGATGTATAATTAAGGTGCAGTCACATTAGCGAAATTTCGTGGGCAAAAAAGGTTAATTGTCTAGTTCGGTAGTAATGTATGAAGCACGGCTCGCACTCTTTTTTTTTTTTGTTTACTTTTAAACCAAACAGCTTTCTGTTGGTTAACGCAGTGAATTTGTGAACTCGAACCTGTCGCGAAATCTGTGTGAGGAAATATTTCACCCTCATGTAAAATTCCCAACCGCATGGATTCCTATTGAAATTACTGGATTTTACCCATGAAAATTCGCTAAACAACAGTATATGTGACCACACCTTTAGTGAGGCAGGCTACAGCAAAAATCTTGCAAAAGATCAGTGGAAAAGGCCTGTCAACTGTGATGTGAGATAAATAGACAAGCTGACACGGTTTCATATTCTGGACATTTTTAAAATGTCTTTATTGGTATTATTGGTATTATTACGTAATGACACATAACATCAATGTTGTCGTTCGATCATTAGTAATTTCTTGTTTTAAATTATACAACATTGCTTGGTTTTTGGCATTTAGGTTCCCACTAAAAAAAAAAAAAAAAAAAAAAAGCAATGAAATGAACACATGGAGTCTCAAAACATTTCCCTTTTCCATACCAGAGAGCTAAGTGTTCATTAGCAGCAACTGTTGCTTTTCATTTTTAGTTATGTGATGCTAAGTTAATTGCCAACTCACAAGTCAGAAGGGTATAGCGGTACCTTATCAATCAGATTGAGCACTACTTCATATAGACCGTGTTTTCCACTGTAAGATCTGATGATGCTATTTTAGCTCTCAGTTCAGATGCATGTTTTTGAACTGCTGTCATGGAAGTTTGGCCCCTCCATTCTGAATTTGCATTTTATTAAGTTTTGGAGTCACAGAGGTTTGATACTTAACATAAGGGCAGAAGAAACTTCCTGTTGTATCCTATGAAGTGGAGGCAGAGCTTGCAAGTTCGACAACCATATAGTGCGTTATCGCAAAAACACAGAAAAGGTTTTTGGGATTTTGGTTCCCACTAAAAAAAAAAAAAAAAAAAAAAAAAGCAATGAAATGAACACATGGAGTCTCAAAACATTTCCCTTTTCCATACCAGAGAGCTAAGTGTTCATTAGCAGCAACTGTTGCTTTTCATTTTTAGTTATGTGATGCTAAGTTAATTGCCAACTCACAAGTCAGAAGGGTATAGCGGTACCTTATCAATCAGATTGAGCACTACTTCATATAGACCGTGTTTTCCACTGTAAGATCTGATGATGCTATTTTAGCTCTCAGTTCAGATGCATGTTTTTGAACTGCTGTCATGGAAGTTTGGCCCCTCCATTCTGAATTTGCATTTTATTAAGTTTTGGAGTCACAGAGGTTTGATACTTAACATAAGGGCAGAAGAAACTTCCTGTTGTATCCTATGAAGTGGAGGCAGAGCTTGCAAGTTCGACAACCATATAGTGCGTTATCGCAAAAACACAGAAAAGTGTCAGAGTTTACAGGGACACTTGTTCTTGCGTGGGAAGAGGTGGAAGGTGCAAGTCTCTGGTTGCATGGAATGATGGAACACATCACACACACAAGACGGCAAATCACAACGCTTGAGAGGGGGTGGTGAGAAGAGTGTGGTCAACGGCTGTTCAGTCAAACTCACACTAAAACCCTTCGTCACTCCAAGCAAGATTATCGCATATAAACCAGTTTTTCCTTTTTCTCAAAAAAAAAAGAAAAAAAAAAAAGAAAAATTATAAATTAGGAAAACAAAAGACAACAGAACACTAAATATTATAAAACGAACAAGAAAAGAGTGCATGTAACCATCAGGTCTCACAGCATCCATTTCTTAATATTTTAGAACGCTTTGTCCTTTTGTTTATTGATACACACAGGCAGGACTGTCTAGCATGAATATGTCACGTTTCCAAGGAGAGGAATTTGATCAAGGCTGCTTCCCTGAGTTGACTCTAAATTTCAAATCTATATTGCATCTTAATGTAAACTATTTCATCGAAAGTCCGAACTCACATTTAATTGATCTAAACTCTATGACGTCTAACATTGTAAACCATTCTGAGCTGGTTTGGATTGTGAGCTTGGTCCACTTTAGATTTGCTGTATGGAATCCTTAAGACTAAATGTGAATTTCATTATATGCAAATATGCTGAAATAAAGAATTTTGGGATTTTAGGACACTTCCAGATAGAAAAAGGGACATTAATAGAGTTGCTTAAATTTAAATAGAAGAATTAGACTTGTGAGAAATGTGTGGTGTACAGATATAACGGAGTACAACAGATAAATGTAAATTTAGCTCAAATCAATACAATTCCTGGTTTTCTTTCAGGTTATCATTGGCTTTTAGACCACTGGGCTGAATTAAGAGCAGTTGTAGCACCCGTTTGAGTTGACACTTCAGTTTTATTGTTGCAGTATTTTTGTACAAAAAAGTCGTTGAAGACGAACAGCTTATTCATCATCAGCGCTTAGTGTTGGCAAAACTTTCAGCCCTTGTGGTAAAAACATTAGTATTTAAAAGTCTACTTGCTCGGTTTCTCTGCAACTCACTGTTCAGACTATGTGGGAAATTGCTTTTGGGGTGGCAGACATGCAGATTGGCGAGTGGTCATCAGCAGATTTGAGTAGTAGACATTGGGAAAAGAAGCTCAGTTTTTAGTATATTTTCCCGCTCACAATATTTTCCATACAATTGATCCGTAAACAGATTGCTTTAACCAGTTCAAAATGGTGGATTTCTAAAATGGCCGCTTCATTCACAGAATTACCAGACAGCAGATGCCTGTGAGAAATAAGTTCCTATGGGCCAAATCCTCACTTACACATTAAGAAAGGTAATTCAAAACGGGTCCCACATCAGTCATTCAATTTTACTTACACCGGCAAAGCAAATGAAACCTTTACGCTTGTCTGATCAGCAGTAATTCATTTACTACAGGCAGCCACTGCAACAGACTAAAATAACTCGTACTCGTTCATGCTTTTAAAAGAGTTAGGATGGATGAGAATATTCACAGCTTTCCAGTTTTTGTTCTTGCTGTCCCTCTATGTGTCTGTCTGTGTGGGCTTTTTGAGGGCAGGGAGGTATGTGCCTTTGTATCCTGGTGGGCAGTTGAAATTTGGGTCCATTCGGTTTCCTCTTTCTCGCCCCATGCATGCAATGCATTATACCTTCAGCCAGGCTTTACCACAAGGTTTGTAACAGACAAAATTCATTCATTCTCTCCCTATAATACAGACTTTAATATGCCCTTAAGTGTATGTCAGTATGTGTGTACCCTAACCCACAGTATGTACATCAGAATCCAGTTGATGGTAGCTGAAAGGTTACATTTGGGAATCACGTCCTGGTAAAACCACTCTACAGTGCATGAACCCTCAAATTACAGTGACAAACACATATTCAGCTGGTGCACTACAGCCAGGCTGGAGTGTACACTAGCTAGTGCACTTCCAACTGCACTGTACACTTGTATAATTCTATAGTCTGTCAATGGAGAAGAAACATCAGGGGAGCAGCCTCAGACGGGGGTTTACAGGGAGGGTTAGTATGATTACACGTGTGCATCTGTATGTAAAGTGTCCACTTCAGTTTGTTTCGCTCTTTGATGGTCGTGTGTGTGTGTGTGTGTGTGTGTGTGCATGTGTAAGTGTGTGTTTGTGGCTGTAATTCCAACTCACTCAGTCAACAGTTTTATCTCGCTCACGAGAAGGGAGTTGATATTGTAGGCGGGATCTGCAGTGACGGGAGCGGGGCCTGTTTCCGTTAGATCCACCTCGCTCTCGCTGGAGGTGGAGCTTGTGCTCATGGTGGAGACGGCGTCAGTGATGGCACAGGTAGCGCCGGGTGGGCAGATCTCATTGGGAATACACACCTCTGTGGGGATTATCACCTCGGTCGGGATACACACCTCAGGCTCGCTGCTGGTTTCACTGGTGCTGGAGACCACAGAAAGCAGCGACAGCTTGGCAGAAGGGAGAGGATGTAGTCGGCCACGATGCCTGCCACGTCCATCCCACAAGCCTGGTCGAACGCGATGAAGCCCACGTTGGCGTTGGCCTCGCACACCACAAAGGAACCGTCGTTTAGCTGCAGCAGGTCAACTCCACAGACGTCCATCCCCAAAATATTGCACACCTGCACAGCCAGCTGCTTCCCCTGCTCACTGAGGGGGCACATCATTCCCACCCCACCTATCAAAAAAAAGAGCAAAATCATGAGCAGGGAGGCTAATGGGAAATTATGGGCAGTTGTTGTTGTAAGCTAAAACTAAAAAAAAAAAAAAAAAAAAAAAAAGGAAATTGGTAACT